GGGTAAATCACTTAGCCTGTCTTTGTTTCAGTTTTTTCCTCCTACCAAGTAAGCCTCTTTATTTTCTTTCTGGAGACACGTTTTCCCCAAAGAATCCACTAAATAATGTATAAGATTTGAAGGTGGCATTTTTTTTAGGGGGACTAGGCAGAATATTTTCTTTGAGAAGAGAAAACGGCCCATTGTTGAAGCATAGGATGAGATTGTGATTCTAATTTATTCTCTTTGAACCTAATGGCAAATGTTCCTCACTGTAAGATGTGGTTCTTAGGGATTTCCTCTAACCAAACCTTTCCTCCATAAGGCTGGCACCTTTTGAACTACTAAAGCAAGATCCCACTTCCACCCCTTCAATAGATTCAAAGCCAAATGTTATAATTTCAGAGAAAGCTTGACCCTGATCATAGCTAACTTATCTTAAAAGCTAGTATCCAGATATCATATGCTTCCCCACCGACTGCCCAATAGAGCCAGCTCACTCTGTTTATTTATTGGGTCTGGGGGACTGGCTGTAATTTGGATCCACCTGAGTTAATAAAGGGAAATTAACTTTCCTGATTGTGTACTACATTTTATTCAACAAATGTAGAGTCCCTCTCTGATACCAACCATTGTGTTGCAAATACCAAGGTGAATGAGGCTCTGAAGTGTTTTGGGAGAAACATTAATTTTTGTGTCTGTGTATATATATATATATATTCAGTATATATATATGTGTGTGTGTGTGTGTGCTGAATAAGAGGAAGAGAGGGAGGATACAGCCAGTACTATCAAGAAAGCAGGGGCAATGTGTTAGCGTGTTGAGGATCACTGACAAGTTAGTGACTTGACAATAAAACCTTAGGATTTCTTCTCAAAATTGGAATTTAATCCAGTCAAGAGAAGGTTAGAGCTAGCGCTGTGGCGTAGTAGGCTAAGCTTCTGCCTGCAGCACCAGCATCCCATATGGGCACTGGTTTGTGTCCCAGTTGCTCCTCTTCTGATCCAGCTCTCTGCTATGGCCTGGGGAAGCTGTAGAAGATGGCCCAAGTCCTTGGGCCCCTGCACCCACGTGAGAGACCTGGAAGAAGCTTCTGGCTCCTGGCTTCAGATTGGCTCAGCTCCAGCCCTTGCAGCCACTGGGAGTGAACCAGCAGATGGAAGACCTTTCTCTCTGTCTCTTCCTCTGTCTGTAACTCCGCCTCTCAAATAAATAAATGAAATAAAAAAAAAAACTACATATATATATATATATATATAGAGAGAGAGAGAGAGAGAGAGAGAGAGAAGGTTGTTTTCCCAAGGCTGTGCAACTAGACAGTGAAAAAAAAAATGTGGATCATCACCCAGGCTTTTGACTTTTGAATTTTCTTTAAAATGATTCACAAAAGACAGATGGCCTTCCTGCTGGTTACCTACATTGCAGTGAAAAGTGAGAACATAAAATTTGAATTTTGATGATAATTTTCTGTTCTACCATTTGCACTTCTAATTACTAACCAAAAAAGCAGCATTTTTTGCATATGCTAGAGCGTGACCTGATAGAGGATGTAGGAGCTTGAGGTTCCATGGAAACAGAAGCCAGTTAAGGAGGAACCCAACCTCTCCTGAGCAGCCAGGTACTTTGACCTCTGCTGTCACACTGAACCCAGTTTTACCAACCTTATGAGGTTCATGGCGTTAGCATTTAGCGTAAGTCCTGCTCATCCTTTAGATGTCACCTCTGCCCCTCCTTTGTTAAATGAACACACCACTAAGAGTCTCTCCTTCAAGACAAGCATTTAGCACAGTGGGAACTTTCATACTTTTAGGATTATCGGATCATGTTTCCCACGCTGGGCGCAGGGGCAGTGTGTGCTGGGCTCATCTTTGTATCTTTATTACATTAGAAGGCACTCACAAGTTGATGACCGGCTGTTTCTAAGAGAGCTGGGATTCAAAGTCATGTCTCTCTGTTGTAAATAATATGAATGAAGTTCTCTGAGATACTCTGAAAAGGCAGTGTAGACAAAAAGTACCCCCTAAGCGCTCTCTTTATAATAGGTGTGTGAGAGGTTATCAGGAGTCTTTGAAAAAATTAGGAATTAGCTTGTTAATCCTTCAGTCCATTCTTTGGTTCTATCACCTCTTTCCCTAGTATCAGTGGAAAGCCTCTGTGTGGAACTTAGAATGCGGGTCTGGTTAGGGATGGGAGAAGGCAGTGTCTTACCTCATACTTGATCTTGTAAGGTGTTCATGACCTAAGTCCCAGTTTGGTTTTGACCCTCCAAGGCACAAATGAAATCAGGGTGGTGGAGGAGATAGCACACAGAAGGGAGTACACAAATGTCATTGGTAAAGCATGCATTAATTCTGAGTGGCCAAGCTTTTTTGGTCATTTTTAGCCAAATACAGGTATATTTTTAATTTCTCTGAAGTGTGCGTTTTCTCAAAGATTTTGAGTCTGTAGTCATTCATAAAATAGATCTGTTCAAATGACCTTTTTGCATTATTTGTACTACCAAATCACAGTGTTAGTAGTTGCTCTTGCAAAATTTCTGGACATTAGCTAAAGGCATGAGGCTCTCTTGCAGAAGTCATGTGTGTTTATAGTGAAAGGGACCGGGAGGTAGGAGGTGGAATGGCCAGGTTTATACAGTGCCTCTTTCTGGCTCTCTCAGACCTCCATATATCACACTTTGCTAGGCCCTGCACAGCAGGGTGGGCAAGGGATATTAAATTTGATTTTAGTGAAGCCAGAAGCCTTAATATGATTTTCATAAGCTCAGTGTAAATGACAATGACATGACAAAGAGATTTGAAGAGCTCTGTAGGCATCCTCGCTATCTTGGGGGTGGGAAGTAGGGCAACTCAGGAAGCATATTTTATATATATGCATATGTGTGTATTTTAAAAGTTGTATATAACCCATGTCTTTACCCTCTTTAATAAAGACTAAAACCAACTAAAAAAGAAAAAGACTAATTTGATGCACAAAATTCTGTATGCATGCCAAGTGCTGATGTAAAGAACCTCATTTGACTGAAAAGACACCAGCCAACCATTAGATTTCCATGGTTGAACACTCACAAGATCATGTACACCTATATTTCACTGCAAAAATTGCTCCCTGAAGTGTGAACCAACTTCAATTTTGAATAAAATTTAGCATTCAAATTTATAGCCACCTTGAAAACTAAGGGTTTATTTATATCATAAGAACCTGAACAGATTCTTAATTATGCCAGCCTGGTTGCACATGGAGAATCTGGATTTCTTTTTTTTTTTTTTATGTAGGTTTTCCCACATTTTTTAGAGCTTTTATAGCAGCATCATTTATGGGAAATGCTATGAAACTCCTGCCATATTATAGTTTAAGTTTAAAGTCAATGCTTCTTAGAAGAGATTCTAGTGTACCTTATGGAGGCACTGAAAGGTTTCTATGCTTTCCCCCCAGTCCTCTTGGAAGTCTGGTTCTGTTGAAAGAGATATTGGTTCCTTCAAGTGATCTCTGTGTGTTAACAGTGTGCACAAGGAACCTCCTCTTGCTTGTTCTAGTGGCAAAAGTCATTTTTGTTTGCGTCAAAGGAAAGGTCTGATTCAACTAGGGTGAGCCTTTCATTTTAAGAAGAGCTAAAGTCTGGGGCGTTTTTTAATGTTTTAATCTCTGTTTAAGAGGTTTCTGCTACGAGAAAATTGATAACATTTTTACCTCAGCAAACTGCCAGCACACTGGCTCTGCTCTAATCCCACATTTATAGTGATTTATAGTCTCCGTGGCAATGTGCTGTAACCTCAGAGTGATACCACTGTGGTGTGGATTGACTGCATTCCAAATGCTGGAATCACATACATAATGTTTTTACTTTTAAATAATATTCAGACACTAGAATAAATACCATATGTGCACCGATGCTGGGTACAACAGAACCTTGTCATATTTTTTTTTGTGTGTGAGAGAGAACGTTCTTTGTTTCTGATTCCTGTTTGAAATAAGTATGCAAAAGATAAACATGTACATTGACAGCATTTTGAGAAGGCTTTGGTAATCACACATCTGAGGATGTGGCTACAATCTCTTGAAATGTAGCATTTAAAACTAAAAAGCTTGGTGTGTGTTGCCACCATCCCTCCCTGGCACCTATGAAGAAGGCAAGGACTGTTATCTGACATTTCTAGTGTAGGATATAGCTGTTGTATTTTATGTCTATAGCATGCTGGAGTAAAAGTCCATCTGCTGAAGAAAAATGACCTCCATGAGCCCTGTTCATAGGAACAGTGAGAGTAACATGCTGATGACATTGTAACAGGGAGAGTAACACACTTGATAATGGGGAGGGATGGATTGATTGGGAAGCCATAATTCAGTGTGGGGCTAATGTCATCCGATGCCACAAAAGCAGAGTTTAGGTGGCCTGACATCATCAAGATACAGATAATCAATCTCTCCAGCTCCACTTTTTCCCACATGATATTGAAGATTTAAAAGTTTCATAAAGTGCAGAAGTACCTCCCAAGTCATGCATTTTTACATTTTTGTTTTTATCCATCTTGGTTGGAGTCCTAATCCACTTAGACATATTTTTAAAATAGACATGGTAGAATGCCTTTCATATTTGTACATCTGTAACAAGCTCCAACAAGTCAATCCACATTCGCTTCTTGGGGAAGCATTTCAATCCAGGTTTGTGTGATTACCATTGGCTGAGCTATATTGAATTAGTGCTTATAACATTTTTATAATATTTTATACATGATGAAACCCTGGGCATTGAAATTGATGGCTTCCCTACCCCTTTACGCCCCTATCCCCACCCAGTTTTGCGAGGCTTGCCCAGAATATATAGTGTGAGATTAATGTGTGAGTAATACATCATAATGTATCTCTGACATTTTATCTGGCACAGGGCTCGGCTGGGTAAGTAGCACCTCCCTTGCAGGAGTGTTCTCCACCATCACAAAAATGTGAAAAAGCCCCTGTTTGAAGTGGGGAGGTTGGGAGACAAACACTGAACTTCTACCACCTTGTCTCTCTTTTTCAGCTTTTCGGATGATCCCTTATCCCTTGGAAAAGGGGCACCTATTTTATCCTTACCCTATCTGTACAGAAACAGCAGACCGAGAGCTGCTCCCATGTAAGTCCCCCTCTCATAGTCCTCTCTGCAGCCGGTGAGGGTGGTGTGGCCAGAGGGGGCAATGGGAAGAGGTGGGAATGATAAATGTCTATAATGTTCTTTGTCTTTTATTGCTTTCCTCCCAACCCCTGTCCTTGTTTGATAGCATATGTATTAAAGTGAGTTATGTGAGTGGGTTTGGCTTCAAGCTCTCCAAATTCATCAAAGGGAAAGATGCCAAAAGACTGAAATTGAGATGGAAGAGGCACCGTGGACTGATGGGCCTGAGCACAGAGACCCCGGGTTTGGGGTAGACTGTCCCCGGGCTGGTCCCTCATGGAGGGTTCTGCCGGGGCCCACCAGCTGCTCAGAGGTGGCCTGCACTGCCTGCAGCTTGCAGAGGAAGCGCTGACTTCAGAGGGAGCTGCAGATGAGTCAGGGGTGGGAGGGCAGCACCAGGCCGCTGGCATGGCCGGCAGAGGCGGAGTCACGGGGCAGGGCGGGGGTGCTCCCTGCGGTGATGCAACACTCTTGGCCGGAGGGGCTTCTGCGGAACCTCTCGTGTATTGCACATAACGAGTTGGCGTAGCATGTGCGGAGCACACGTGCAGCCTCAGCACTGTGTAAAAGCACACACGAAGAAAACCCTGCCCTCGAGAACCTTACAAGCTAGCAGTCTAATGGCCCATACCACATGTGGAAAATATTATTTTGGTTTTCTGTAATACAACATTGTTTTGACAGTTCAGGCTAAATAGTTATTATCAGATCAGACTGTGTGTAAGGCGCAGGTCCAGACTCTTCATTGGCCCTGACGTAGGACATAGTTTTCTCCCTCAGATAATAAGCTCCACACTTGGGCTATGTCTCTGTCCCCTGTCCTCTCTCCTGCCACCCCTTCCCTGTGCCCAGCCCCAGTTATGGGGACACCTCATAGCTATCACATATGTAAGTACTTTGCCCTGAGAAACGGTGGAACTTTGGAGCCCTGCGAGTGTAGTAAGTATTCAGACGCCAGCAGTTTGGAGCCAGTCCCAAACCCCCGGAGTGGTAGCATCTGGGTACAAAACTAGTGTGCTGTCATCAGGTTGAGGCAGCAGAAGATGCCCCCCTCGTTGGGTTGGTAGTCAGACTGGATGTGAGAGGTGCTCTCTGCAACGTGCTCCTCATTGTCCCGGTTGTAGAGTAAAAAGGCTTGGTGCCTCTCACGACATCATGTTTCCTTTCCGAAATCCCTGCTACGGGCCCAGAGTTTACCTTTTGACTCCCTCTTCAGGGAGATCCCTGCTGAAGTTTCAGTTTTCCGCTAAGAAAGACAGTTTTCTGAAAAGCACAGTGTTTTTAAATGTTTTAATTGAGTCCCACGAAGTTTCCATGGAGATAGATTAGCTATTAGAACAAGATTACAGAGTTTGTAAAAGAAACTCCACAAGGATAACCTTTAGAAGCCTGAACCAGGGAATCCTGGCTCCCATTTATGTCAGTGAAGGCAGTGGTGCAAATCTGTGGCCCTCCACGTCCTTCCTGGCTTGGGGGTGAGGCTGTGAGGCAGGTTGCTTCCTATATTTGGCACACGGAAAGGACAACTGTGGTCACGTTCAGTTCTGAGGGCAGTTCCATCCCGGGTTTGAATCCTCACCCGGATTCCAGTAGGCATCCTGGTCTGTGCTTTGTCCCTCCCAGATCCCGTCTGCTCTGTGCTGGGCAGTATGGGTTACTAGTTAAGGCTCTAGTTAACGAGAGCTGCGTGTTGGAGGAAGGGCCTTTGGAGCCTGTATGTCCTGGGGAACGTGGGTCCCTCAGGTGCTTTCGGTTAGCGTGGCGCTGGTGCCCACCTGCCGTTTCCCAGCCACTCCCCCAGGGTTTCGGCCCCAGCAGGTCGTCCTTTCTCCTCTGGCCAACAAACAGCACAGCACACTACAGTCACAGGCAGCCACTTAATGAGCAGAAAGGAGGAGTTGCTTCTCATGGCTTTTGTGCCATAGCTTTTTGATTTCCCTCAAACCCAATATTTGAAGTTTAAAAGTCATGAAAGGCACCCTAAAGAGCACCTGTTTTGTTTTGTTTTGGGTGATTGTTGGAAGTATATTTATCATCAAGAGTCTCCTTCAATTGGGCCAGATAACCCTGAGCAGCCTTGACCCTTACCCCTTGCAGGTTGAATAGGCCAGCATGTGAGGTCCTTGTTGAATGTCTCTGTCAGGGTAGTAACCTCCACTGACATTTTTAGAGTGTGCCAGGAAAAAAATACAAGATAAACTAGCATTGCCTCATTATAATGACATGACAAAATACAGGAAGGTAAAAATGTAGACCAGGGATTTTTTCCCCCAGTATACTTGCTTTTGTATTTTCTAGGTTTTGTACAATGGGCATGTGTTTTGAATAAAGTTTGGTTGTTTTGTGGAGAAAGATTGTGTATTAGGCGTAGATGGCGCTACTGTTCTTGCCCATACATGTGCAACATCACACATTGTCCCTATCAAGCCTCTAGCTAGAGTGCTGAAGGTTGGCCGTGGACTTGGGAGAACCACATAGGTAGCCTAAAGCTGGGTCAGTTGATGGCTATAGTTTGCCAAGTATCCAACCATTTTCATTCCCAGCAGGGCTAGCCAAATCTCCAAAGAGTCAGTCCCAGCATATAGAAATTCCCCAGGGATGCATTTCGCAGTTCTAATATGTCCCCTTTGGTCTTCTCCACAGCTTTCCATGAAGTCTCAGTTTACCCAAAGAAGGAGCTTCCCTTCTTCATTCTCTTTACTGCTGGATTGTGTTCCTTCACGGCCATGCTGGCTCTCCTGACACATCAGTTCCCGGAACTCATGGGAGTCTTCGCGAAGGCTGTGAGTGTTGGCCACGAGGGAGGCCTCAGGGAACAGACAGGGAAGCCAAAGGGGGCATATTGGAGAAATTGGGGATTGCCACACAGGCGTGCATATGAGCCCGTGGAGATCCATTGCTCACTGTTCGATGTTCGTTATCACCAATGGAACCGCAAAATTAAGGGTCAGGAGATAAAGTGGGAGTTGTGAGTGCATGCCTTGCCTCATTTCATGAAACCAGTTCCCAGCAGTTTCTTAAAAAATGCTCAAGGTCCAAAAGGATGGATAGAATAATTTAAAGAATGTTAGCTCATGAAAAATTTGTAGGAAGTTGTTCAGCTTGGTTTAAATTGAATGACATTCTTTGGCTACTGTGGGTCTTTCCTTCATGAAGGATGAGATTTATATTTTCAATCAATAGTTTTTTTTAAATGGCCACAACCATTTAGCTTATTTGGGGGATGAACTGGGAGGGCATGAAGGCTTCTAGTAGTCAGTGCTATGCTTCATGGCAATCAGACATGAGCAAATGCATCAAGAGGCTCTACGGAGGGATGCAGAGAGGAGCTTTAGTAAGAAAAGCCACCTGCTTGGACAGCCAGGAGCCTTTGTCCCCTTGTTGAATACTGCCCATTTTAACCTGGCTGTGCAGTGAGGGTAAGTGTGCTGATGTGGCCACAGCTGAGTTTCAAACAGAAGGAATATGGCAGAGAGTTACAGTTGTTGCCCTGGAATTCCAATCAGATTTCAAGGTGAGTGTACTCAGAAATGATCATTTCTAACTTGGCTGGGTTGATTTAATCCCTTTCCAGATGATTGACATTTTCTGCTCGGCAGAGTTCAGGGACTGGAATTGCGAGAGTATTTTCATGCGTGTTGAAGATGATCTGGAAATGCCGCCGGCTCCTCAATCTCAACATTTCCAAAAGTGAACTCATCACCCTTCTCCCCCCACCACCAAAACAGTTCCTCCTCCCGTATTCCTGACCTCTACCAGTGGCCCTGCCATCCACCCAATTAGTCAAGCCAGCACCTCGGCAGGCCTCCCAAATTCTGCCCTCCCTCAATCCCTGCATCCCATCGCTCTCGGCCTTCCCAGCTGTCAGTTCTAACCTCCTAAGCAACTAGGCATCCGACGAGTGTGATTTCCCTCTTCCTTTTCTCCTCCTTGCCCCACTGCATCTCGTTCAGGCTAGGTCCTTGTTACTTCTTGCCTGGACTCCCCCAATGGTCTTCACTGATCTCCTTGCTTCTAGGCTTATTCTTTGCAGGTCTTTCTTCCATACTGACAGAAGAATGATCTTCCTAAATTGAAAATCTGAGCATGTCACTTCGCTGCTTGAATTTCTCCAATGGTTTCCCACCCATTTCAGGATCAAGTCCCAGATCTTTCGCATGGCCTCCAAGGCCCTTTATCATCTGGCCCTTGCTTGCGTCTTCAGCCTCCTCTCTCCCAACTCTTGCACTGACACTGCTCTTCGAGCAAATGAATTACTCACCATCCTCAGCCGCACCAGGAGCTTGCACAGCTCGGTGCCTTTGCACGTGCTATTTGCATAGAATGCTCTTCATTGTCACCACCCCATCTCATCCACTCTACTAACACCTCTTCGTTCTTTCATACTCAGCTTTCTTTAAATGTCTCCTGAGCTGAGTCAGGTGTCCCTGTGTGATCCCACAGTATTCCATGGATACGTATATTATCACATTTATTATACTATGTATTATAATTGTTGAAAACTTGTGTGTCCATCTATAGAATGTGAGCTCCTTGAGAGCAGAACTGTGTCTTCCTCATCTCTGTATCCCCAAAGCTTTGCACAGTGCCTTGCACATAGATTTTTAATAAATGATGATTCAATAAATAAACGGTAGTGGTCTCTGCAGAAAGAACCAATGTCAAGATCAGAGAAGGTTCACCATTCCTTTTCTTTTTTTGCGCTTAGAGTCATGGACTCTTAGAGTTGAAAGGACCTTAAACAGATTGCCTTCAACAGGAACGCCCAGTGGAGGCCTTCTAGACCCATCTCGAATACTTTCAGTGATGGGGAGCTCATTGACTTAACAGCAAAGCCATTTCGTTGTTGAATTACTTGGAATTCTTCATGATACTACTAAAATCTGCCTCTCTTACATTTCTACCTATTATTTTTATTCTGCCAAATAATTCAACTTTCTCTTTGAAGTTCTTAAGACAGCTCATCTATTCACAGCCCCCTTCTCTTTCGTCCAGGCTGAATATTTTAAATTTCCTTAAGTCTTCTGTATGTGATGGATTTCTAACCTCAGTATCACCCAGATTGCCACCTTGGATGTTGCTTAGTTAATGGGTCTGCACTGTTTGTTATTTTCATCTACTCTCTTACCAATCTCTGAGTAAAAATAGTTGCCAAAATTCTGAAGTTAAAGTGTAAGCTCAGTGGAATGTGAATACGAATATATGTACATTAGACAGTTACCGTTCCACCTTGTTTCTCCCTTACACATGTTTTAGAGCATATTTGTGTAAGAATGCCTTAGGTCCAACAGTGGTGTAGCACTTGGGAGTTTGGGTTAAGTACAGAGATTCACAGCCTCCAGTGTGCATAGATTTCACCTGGCCATGCCACCAGAAAACAAGAATCTTGAGCGTTAATCCCTAGGAAGCTGTATTTATAACCAGGCCCAGGGGATTCTGAGGACGGAGGTTGGTGATTGGTCTCAGCAACGCCGAACCTTAGAGCAACCGTTGGCAGCCATGTGCTGGCAGAGCTGCTCGGTGACAGCGTCACGGGACACAGTGGTTTCAGTCTGGCTGTGCCTTGGAGCCACTGAGGGCACTTCACAGTGACTGATACCTGCTCCCACTTCAGACTTGATTGGTCCAGGGCACAGCCTAAGGTTGTCAGAGGCTGGGCAGTGACTCAGACTGTGTGACCAGGGCTGAGAACCAGCACACTGAATGACATCACTGATCGCCCCGGAGTTTAAGCAGCAAGAGCACTGGGAGGGGAGGGGCTGGGGTGGGGCAGCTGGTGAGTAGAAAACTGCGTGGGTGTGCAGCCCTCTCTCCAGAGTCCTGGATAGGCACGTTTGTAATGGAGGTTAAAGGAGAGGCCATTATCCTCGTTTACTATTTCCAAGCCTTTGGTTTTTCACTCCAGGAGCAAATGATTTTATGAAACATACATCCACCTTTAGGGTCTGCATGTTTCTCTGTGATAGTTTGATCAGTTGTCCGTAAGTTTCAAAGGTCATTTAAGTAGGCTTGCTCTGGAGCCTCTGAGTGGAGGCTCCCATTCATCTCGTTAGGGTCTAGCAGTCTCCAGCAGGTCTGGGGAGACTTGTGGGGAAGGAAGATGGATGGCCTGAGAGAGACAAGCCACACCCCGGCCCCGCCCCCAGCATCTTCTCCGCATCCTCCTCACTGTCACTGCATCAGGCCCATCCTGAAGCCCCCACCCTGCACCCCACGGGTTATCACAGCTGCCCTAAAGGCCATTTGCAGCTTGTGAAAATGATTTTCTCAGCCTTCTCCCGAGATAATGTCCCTGGGATAATGACTTGGAGTAGAGGCAGGCAGATTGCACTGCCACCCGCCAGGCTGCGCAGCCTGGGAACCCTGCAGTGTGTTTATACATTGGTCTGCAGCCAGCAAGGAAGCTGACAGTGACGGGAGAGCCACTGGAAAACAGTCAAAGGAGAGGTTTCAACGGCCGCCCCGCCCCCACATGATCAACTTCAATGACTTAGGACCAACTCTTCCTAGAATGTTTAGGTACCTAGATAAGGCTGCTCATATAAATAAGTTACACCCAACTCACCCCTCACAGAATGCAGGAAGGTCCCAGTCTGACCTTCTGCTCTCAAGGGCCCCGTCCCTATCCCTCTGGTCTCTCTCCTCCCCGGAGATTGAGCTCCCTGACTTCTGACTCTCATCTTCACTTATAGGCCCTGACCTCTTTGAAGTCTGATATTGATTACAGTGAAATGTCAATTGTCTGATGGCACCAGGGCACCTGGAACGTATTCAGATAAGCAGAGGCATTCCGGACGTGCATGCAGCCTGTTGGGAGCCCTGACCTCCTTCTAAGTGATGCTGTTTCAGGAAAAGGAGGATCAGGCGATTGAAGTGTCACTCTCTCTTTTTTATTAGCTGAGTTGCTTTTTCTCACCACACGACATTGATTGAATTATGGGGCGCTTTGGTTAGAGATCTGACCGTGTGTCTCTGCCCTCTGAACAGAAGTTTTCGACATTGAGATAGATGGGCTGTTTCAGGGTTGCCTGGTGTTGCTCATTCAGACTTAACTTTCCAGGCAATAAATTTCTCCCCGAGTCCAGAAGTGTATGTGCCGTTTCTCTTCGTGTATTGGTTGGGTCTCAGGCAAAGTTGTAATGACTAATTTTCAAACGTGTGACAAAGTACAACTAAGCATAGCGAGCAAGGCATGCCCCTTCAAACTTTTAAAAATGCTACCAGATGAAGGCCGTGGGTGTTTATCTGGTTACCAAATGGAAGTGTTTAGGAGCTTCGGATGCCCTACTAGCGTGTGCGCTTCCTCCTCGTGGTGTGGGACGGAGAGGAAGACGTGGGGCAGTGTGCTAGGAAGAAGGCGGCTTATTTGAAGACAGTAAATTAGGCTCTCTAGGATAGAGTTCAAAGGAGTCTTGCCCAATTCCCCAAAGAATGGAGCATCCTGGATGTGAAGGAGAGACGTAATGCATTCCATGCATTTTAGACATTGGGACTTAATTCTCTTGTGAAACCTTGTTGAGAATAGCAAGTGTCATATAGGACAGAACAGTCCGTTGCGTCTCACTGTGCAGCGTGGGAAGAGCTGGCAGCTATGGATGTCAAAGAGAGTGGAGCACTCCTCTTGATTTGGGGCTTTTTTATTCAAGTTAAGTCAGTGCCCAAAACAAAGCAAATCAAGAAAAAATGCCTTTATCTTGAACTAACCCTGTAACATCTTCCCATTTATTCTGCACCTGAGGTTGAGGCGCCTGATGTCCCCACATTCTAGTGTGTGATGACTTTGAGGGACACCTGTCCTCTGACTGCACTGGCTCATGCCTCATATCCAGCAGTTCCTTCCCCACTCTGTCACAAATTCAGCAGTTCTGAATCTGTTTTTGGTCAAGTCTTTAGGATACGATAACTTCACCAGCAGTATCTCCTTGTTTATTGAGCCCCATCTTCTAACACCTGTTGGAATCTCTGGCTTATCCAGACCACTTAAGCACTTATCTCCTCTTAATAGAGTTGAGTATTATGGGCAAATGCTATGGTTTATTGAGCCTTGTCATTTTCTGATTATATGTGTGTGTATGTGTTTGAAAGGGACATGTAATACAACACATCCATAACTGTGTATATACACAAGGGATAAAAGTTCATGGGAAATGGAATTAAAAGATAGCTTTATTTTGCTGCAAAAAAATTTGAAATCCATGCATATGAGGTCTTTTAAAAGTTCATAGAAAATATGCAATTTCTTTTAGTTTTGTACCAAAATAAATCATTGAATTCCATTCTTCTACAAACTTTTTGAAGTACCTTCATATATATATGTTTATGCTTAATTCTAAAATGTTACCGTAGTGGAAATTTCAGCACTAGGCTTGTTCCACATTCATTATCTTCACATCACCAGGATTTTACAACTACTTTCAGAGGCAGCTGGGGCAGTAAGTACTCATTTCTGGATTCAGTGTCTCCATCATTGTCTCCTAACTGCTTCAACAATGGTACCCAGTCTAGTTCTAAAATGTGTAAAGAGATAGGTAGTCCATCCAGTTGGGTGAGCATCCCAAGGACATCAAAAACTGCCACACACTTAACACTCGTCTGAAGACAGGACTTCCCTGCTTTTGCTCAAGCACAAACATGGCTGTCTGCTCCTTAGCTGCAACCCAGCCTCACGGTCAAGGCCCTCCCAGCCGCCTCCTGACCCACTCTTAAACTCAACCTCTAAGTGTATCAACTAAACAGAGCCACTTTGTCTCTGCTGGTCATCTCCTTTGCTTCTCCTTTTCTGTTGAGGCTGTCTGTTGAGCCTGTAGGGCCCACCCTGCTCATGTTTTTCATCCATACCCCATCTCTATCTCTTGATTCCCCAACCATCCATTGGGATCTCTTGCAGTTGCCTCACTTACATCTTTCAACATTCCTTTTCTGAACCTTCCTGGTACTTTCTTTGGGCTTCTGTCCTGTGTGGCTATCCTGCTTGGCCAATCTGGTCATTATTTGGCTCTGCCAAGGTCTTAGTGGCCCTGCTCCCTCCACCAGTGGGCCTTGAGCTTCTTCACCAGGGTAGGGAGGTGGGGGCATTGTCCTCCAGGCTCTTACACTTGCCCAGGGCTCAAGTGCCTTACTGAGTAAATATATTTAATTGACATAAACGATAGATTGGAAGTGGATTCCAAATTTACAGTAACCTGAGTTTCCTTCATGCAAATCTCAAACTTGGTGATCAAGCTATAATGTGTTACAGGCCTTCTCAGTATGCGTTCTACTTGTCTTTAAAAAAAAGAAAAAAGAAAAATTCTGCAGTCAGTGAATTTGGGAAACTTGCCCACCATACGTCTTCTTGAGGACCCAAGATCCATAAAATGTGTGACCAAGCATACATAGCATCATTAAGTGTACTCTCCACTGAACTTGTCTGATTGCAGAACCACATCCCCTCTGCACGTGATACACACGCTCTGTATTGTCCTGTGGGCAGTTCTGGGAGGTGTAGACAAAGCTGTGCTGTGAGCAGGGGATTAGGAGAGAGGATTCGACAGTTGAACCACGTGTTGAACCAGAGTGGGATACTTTGGTTCTGAAGAGAGGTCAAGGAGACCGTCCATGTACCCTTCTCTTCCCTGAATGGGATGGGGCCACCCCCTACTACCACCAAGAGAAGTCTGACTCTTGAAAGCCGTAGCTAATGAGCATTATTCTCTACATGGAAAGAAGAAGGAATTTAGTAGCCAAATGGTGGTCTCTGAATGGTCGCTCAGAGCAGCTCTTTCAACAAGACACGTCCTGCCTGGAATAGCCAGCCTGCTGCTTTCCCTGCAGCTCCTGGGGTGCCTGCTGCCACACAGCTGGTTCGGAAATAAGCAGGGCTGCACAGGTGTTTGAGAGACAACAGGATCCCAAAGCAATTTACGTACAACAAACTTGACTTTGTAAATTGCCACTTCCACTTAAAAGCGCTAAACTCAGATGCATGGGCAGGTGGTCTAAACTGTCGTCTTTCCAAAGTCTTCAGCCCACCTTGCCACCCATCTGTCATGCCTGTTTGATGACACCTGTCATCTTCATGGGCAGCCAGCATATCCCAAAGCTGAGTGGGTCGACCTGGGCACCGCAGGCCAGCTGTCTGCGGACACTGCTCCCTTATCTCCTGGGACAGGTGGTGGGGGCTGGAATGTGGCTCTGCCCATCAACCAGTGCTTCCTATAAAGGTCAAGATGAGATTGCAGCCTACAGACTTGCGTAATACAGACTTGGGATGCACGCATGGGTCGGAGAGGTGCGTTGCATGTTTGTGGACAAGGTCACCCCTGACTGCCCTGTCTTTCTGGTTTCTTTGCAGTTCCTCAGCACTTTGTTTGCCCCCTTAAACTTTGTCATGGAGAAGGTGGAGAGCATCCTCCCATCCAGCCTGTGGCACCAGCTCACACGGATCTGAGGGAGCCCACACCGCTCGCTCACCTCGCCCCGCTGGCTGCTTCCTCTCTTCCGTGCCCACTCCTCACGGACGGCGGGAGAGCGGGAGGCTGGCGGGGAGGGGAAGCCATCCCAAGACGGCAGAGTGTTCACGGACTGTCCCTTCCGTATTAAAGGCTGTTTGGTTGTACACAATTCATTCATGTTCAGTTCTATTTTATTTTGCCTTCAGAAAAGAAGAAAAAAAAGTCAAAAATAAACTTTTGTGTATTGCAGCAACAAGTTGTGTGTTCCCGTGTCTTCCAACCCTGCAAAGTGTTGGTGTCCCAAGGTCAAACCTACAGATTTACATTTTGTTTGCCAGGGACCCAGATCTGCCGAGGTTCTCTTTGCTGATGGAACTCATCTCAGCCGGCCAGAGGAACCGCTCACAGTCAGTGACTTGGAAAATGGAATTTTGGGTTCAAAATTGCTCTGTTTTTCACCCCCAAACTGAATGTCTTCCTAGGCCAAATGCATGAAAAGAAGCTTCCAAAATGAATGGCAGACAGCACTTATATGGCTTAACAGGTTGCCCCAATTCAGAGACTCTATCCAGGATTAGTATCCAACTCTGTCATTCCAGGAATCATTTACATTTTGCTTTAGAAAACTTCTCATGAGAAGGAAACTTCCAACAAGAAACTACAAATCCAACAGTCCAAGTAGAAAACGACCACTTTTCCAACCTTGCCATCTTTACAATTTAATTAATTTATTTGAAAGGCACAGAGACAGAAAGAGATCTCCTATCCGCTGGTCTATTTCCCAATTGCCCACAACAACCAGGACTAGGCTAGGCTGAAGCCAGGATCCGGGAGCTCAATCCAGGTTTCCCCTGTGGATGGCAGGAACCCAAGTACTTGAGCCATCACCTGCTGCCTCCCAGCGTTAGCACTGGCAGGAAGCTGGATCAGAAGTAGAGTAGCTGGGCCTCAAACCAGGCACTCCAGTATGGGATGCGGCCGTCCCTGGTGGCCCCTTAACCAGAGCAGCGATGACCCTGAACGTGGCCATTTTAAAAATCTCCTCCCATGAGGGTACGTTTTATTTATTTTTTCGATGTTTGCATTCCTGATGCTCCAATGTTAGCATTCTTTGAGTATTTTAAACCAAAATGATTGTTTGTCCTCACGCCTTTGAAAGCCTTGCCCATGAGTCATACCTTGCTTAGCATCTGACTCTCCTTCAGCAAAAAATGAGAAAGATCAAAGAAATAGACTTGAATTCTATTTTAGAAGTGAAACGTAGCTCTATTTAAAAGTCTCAGTGCAATACCTTAGAAAAACCACTGTCCTTTACACAGTCTATTTCCTCTTTTCTTCTGAATCCTAAAGCTTTGCCCACCCGTGTGAAACAAGCACCTTCCCCGTGGACTTCCTGCAAGCTCCTAGTTTTATCCAAGAGGAAAGTCAGGTGGGAGATAATGTTCAGGTGCGCCAGGGCTTCTTAAACTTTTGGCAAAATTTTTTTTGTACCCACTTTGTGCTTCTGACTCTTGCCCTTCAGGAAAGCTCCTAGCATGAGGTTGAACCCCGTTTTTCAGTCCAGTAGTGCTGCTCGTGAGGACAGAGGCCACGTCTGCCTTCTTGACCTCTCTATCTCTTCGTTCCCCAACACAGCCCTTGATGGAGCAGATGCTCAAATGATTGGAATGAATGTGTGAGAGAGGTATGATAGGTACAAATAAACTTTTGCCCATGTCCAGAGGAGAAAGAGTGGTCCCAGCTGCGAAGGGCCAGGGAAGCCTAGGATTGTAATTCTGAGGTGCATGCAAGAGGAGCTATAGGGCACACTCTTTGATTCAATAGATGAGGGAACCAAGAGATTTTGACCTGGCTGAGCTGCGACTCCAGGTTGTGATAAGTATTAGATGAGAGGTGTAAGAACCTGTAGGCATGGGAAATAGAAATGGGTCAAAGTAAGTTGTTACAAACCCCAGCTTGCCAGAAATGCAGCAAAGAAGTGTAAGATAAAGATTTAAAAGTGCCTAGTGAATTTCATAATCAGGACCTCAGACAGTTTCATGGAAAGGAGAGGTGGCAGTTAGACTTCAAGGGTAGAAGGAATTGGAGGATGAATGTGGAAGAAATATGGGGGCAGAATGAGTCATGGGCGCATAATAGAGACTGTTGGAGGAAGGGCCTGTGGACTAAAATGTTGTGACCCCAATGCTCCCTTTCTTCCGCCTGCCCCCTCAACTCCTCTGCCCAATGCGTGAGCACGTCACCGCCCACTCTTGCAGGTCTGGCATCTTTGGGCCTGATACCAGAGAGGGTGCTCCTTTGCCCACTCTGCCTTGCTTTGTTGTCCAAAAGGAAAAGCATGCAAGCCCTCTTTTATCTGAAGGGTTCCATGCAAATCTGCAGAGACATGGAGCAGAAGAAACCAAAACGGGAGTAAAGTTGGTTTTATGATGATCATTTTTACAGGCTTCTTATACTCTGTTCATGGTCTGTGGTTCCTGACTTCTTAATGAGATGGCAACTGGAAACCATGCCTCATTCTCCCTCTCTGCTTTTATTTCCACTTGAGGGTGCATCAAAATCCATTCTGATAGGCTTTTCTCTGGGAACATTTGTGCTGCTAGCAGGGCACTGAGTGTCCCTTAGCCTCAGCTTGTGTGTCTTTGCTGGAATCCAAATGCAAACTTTCTGAATTACATATCAGCAAATGGAGTCTCGCAATGTACACAGGAAATGATACAGTAGGACCAAATGGGATGATCTCTGGGTTGGTTTAACTTCTTTGATCAGTTTTTGTCAATATCCAGGTTAGTCAGGCTTCACAAAAGAATCGGGGAGCCTGCCTGCCAGCGTTTGAATGGCTCGCCCTCCAAGATGCATGCAGTAGCTGAATCCCAATTGTGAGGTAGTCAAGAGGGCGACAACTTAATTTGACTGCGTTGCTTAGAAGTGGGGCCTTTGGAAGGTCAACAGGGTAGAGCCCCTGTGGTTGAAGACTTGCTAGCTTTCTAAGAGAGAGAAAGAGACCAGGAGACACACGCATGTGCTTCCTGTTCCTTGCCATGTGGTGACCTCAGGCCTCAGGGTTTTGTCAGCAAGAAGGCTGTCGCCAGACATAGCCCCTCCACCTTGCACCTCCAGAACTGTGAGCCAAAATAAACTTCTTTACCAACTTCCCAGACTCCGGTATTCTATTATAGAAATGTAACAGAAAGTGGAATAGTATACTTCCACCTTCTTATACGGTCTGGAATAATGAAACACTGAAATTACTTATATTACAGGATTAAGTAACACTCAGACATCAAGCATATGATTTTAGTGCTTTGTTACTGGTAGATTTTGGATCACCTTTCACTATGTGTGGTGATTGGTCCATGCAAACCTTCCTCCTCTGATGTTCAGTTGATTGCGTTTTTTTCTTTTTTTTTAAGATTTAGTTATTTATTTATTTGAAAGAGTTACACAGAGAGAGGAGAGGCAGAGAGAGAGAGGTCTTCCGTCCGATGTTTCACTCTCCAGACGGCCACAACGGCCAGAGCTGTGTCGATCAGAAGCCGGGAGCCAGGAGCTTCTGGGTCTCCCATGCGGGTGCAGGGGCCCAAGGACTTGGGCCATCTTCTACTGCTTTCCCAGGCCATAGCAGAGAGCTGGATTGGAAGAGGAGCAGATGGGACTTGAACCGGCGCTCATATGGGATGCTGGTGCTTCAGGCTAGGGCGTTAACCCGCTGCACCACAGCGCCGGCCCCCATGATTGCATATTTTTCTAGAAAATTACCATTTTCTGTAGGCATACAAATGTGTTATCAGAGTAAAATGAATATACAACTTATATATTTAATCTCTCTGCATTTGCAGGGTTTTCTCTTCGTTTGTAATTGTGTGTATTTTTTGCTGTCTTTCTCCCCTTTTAAAATAGATTTCTTTTAAAGATTTATTTATTTACTTGAAAGTCAGAGTTACACAGAGAGAGAAGGAGAGGCAGAGAGAGAGAGAGAGAGAGGTCTTCCATACAATGGTTCACTCCCCAATTGCCCACAACAGCCGGAGCTGTGCCGATCCAAAGCCAGGAGCCAGGAGCTTCTTCCACATCTTCCATGTGGGTGCAAGGGCCCAAGGACCTGCACCTTCTTCTACTGCTTTCCCAGGCCATAGTAGAGAACTGGATCAGAAGTGGAGCAGCCAGGACTTGAACTGGTGCCTATATGGGATGCTGGCACTGCAAGCGGTGGCTTTACCCGCTATGCCACAGCACTGGCCCCCTAAAAAAGATTTATCTATGTAATCTGGATCTTTCAAAGAAACAAATTTTGGCTTATTAATTCAGTCAACAATTCTTTTTGTTATATCTTATTTTTTTAACTTTTATTTAATAAATATAAATTTCCAAAGTACAGCTTTTGGATTACAGTGGCTTTTTCCCTTTGACTTCCCTCCCACCCGTAACCCTCCCATCTCCTGCTCCCTTTCCCATCCCATTCACATCAAGATTCATTTTCAATTCTCTTTATATATGGAAGATCAACTTAGTATATATTAAGTAAAGATTTCAACAGTTTGCACCCACACAGAAACACAAAGTGTAAAGTACTGTTTGAGTACTAGTTATACCGTTAATTCACATTGTACAACACATTAAGGACAGAGATCCTACATGAGGAGTAAGTACACGGTGACTCCTGTTGTTGATTTAACAATTGACACTCTTGTTTATGGCGTCAGTAATCCCCCTAGGCTCTTGTCATGAGTTTCCAAGGCTTTGGAAGCCTCTTGAGTTCGCTGATTTCAACCTTATTTAGACAAGGTCATAGTCAAAGTGGAAGTTCTCTCCTCCCTTCAGAGAAAGGTACCTCCTTCTTTGATGGCCCATTCTTTCCACTGAGATCTCACTTGCAGAGATCTTTCATTTAGGTTTTTGTTTTTTGTTTTTTTTTGTTGTTGTTGTTGTTGTTTTTTTTTTTTTTTTTTTTTTTTTTTTTTTTTTTTTTTTTTTTCCAGAGTGTC